GAAAGAGCTCACGATTCGCCGTTGAACTTTTTCGAGAGGGTAATACTTGAGGAACGGTACATCGCCGAAGGGTAACGCTCGCTTCCACTGCCGCCACCGACGCGAAAAAGAGAAACGCGGGAGAGAATAAGGATCGGGCAGCGCAGGCAGCCGCAGAAACTGAATCTGCCTACCGTTCTCTTATTGGATCCTGTCCGGACGACCGCGAACCGCATCGGTACCGCAAGCGTCAGAAAAAAATAAGGGGAAAGAAAAATACTCGCGTCCGCGAGCGCGCCATTAAGTCCTCGACGAAGGACTTCATTATGCAAACACGCAATTTCTATCCATTAACTTTGTTCTCGTCAATTATTCCTCGCCTTTAAGGGAAAAGAACCTGTCTGCGAGAAAATACACGCGATAATGCATGCACAAAGAATTCTATTGTTGATAGACATTTTTTTCTTTCGCGTCTTGCTGCAGATACTTTTCTCTCTTATCGGTATAAAAAGGATTCTTTTTTAATTAAACACCGAACAGAATCTTCTCGATAAGGATAAAACATCGCTAGCTTCCCTCCGCATTGTATTCGGTCGCGGAATCGGAGTCGAGACCTCGCGAGAAATTACCTCGTGCAGCCGGAAGGCGTATTTTAGATTATGGTAATGCAGTTCTCTCAATTTCGAATCCGGCAACTGTTAAGTCGCAAGGAAACGAAATTCTAATTTACGGTCGTTAGATGGTAATAAATGGGTTCAAAGCGATATGGCAAGCAAGCTTGTGCGGAAATAAAGAACCGTTAAGGGAAAGTGCAAACAACGTCAGTCTAAACCGTGAGAAATATTCGAGTGAAATTTATCTTACTCCATAAATAAACGTACATTTACAGTTTTGGTAAATGACCATGTAGTAAAATATCTAACTGTTACTTCTGCATAATCTTGTCTATTTAACAGAGTTCACTAAAGAATAATGTACACATAATTGCATATTGGATAACTATACCGGATACATTATATCTTTATTTTTCTTCTTTTTCTAATCAAATATTTTTTATAGATTAGATTAATATCGAGACTATTCTCTTCGCTTTGCCTCTACTTACATACGCAAATGGCGTGTAAAGGAACAGATCAGATATCTTACGGTGTTTATGCATAAACGCCCAATGTTGAATGTCCCGTTAGGTCGTCGTATACGCGTCTCCACCTGCGAGTGAAAAAACCGCGTGATTACACGTGCGTACGCGCGCGTGCATCATGCGCATAATGAAGAAGCGGCTCCGAGATGCGACGAGACGCAAACGCCCGTTACATCATTTATCTCGCGGAAATCATAGACTCGCATCGAAATAGACGCACGTTTCCGTGTCTCGCTATAAAACGCATGTACAATACACGTGCATCTAGCGAAACGCATGTCCGGTGTCACATCTCACATTTGCGTGGGTGTAGGTCACATGCGTAACACGTGTATGTTTGACTTTTTGCGTGTGTACGTCTATGTGTGTGTGTGTGTGTGTGTGTGTGTCTATATAAAAGGTGCGAAAATGAATGTCGTCGTATCAGTAGTTTCAAGAGCGTTGACGAGAATGCGACGAAGAAATTGAATTACCGGAGGATATATCCTGACACTTGGGAGATCATTTATTTAAAATATGCTATATATACGTAATAAAGAGAGTTTGAACGCCATCATCTATCGGGTGACGGAATAAAACTTACACTATGACGTACGGTTATTGCGGTAAGAAATTCTGCTCAGGCTTTCTCGTCGTAAATGCACTGATTGAATAGCAGTTTACGTCAAAAGTGTCAAACGCTATAATTAAATAGCGTGTTCCAGATGTATATAAGAGACAGTCTCCGGAGACCAGAGGAAAAAATGGGAGAATAACGATGAAGTTTCTAAATTGCAAATAATTTAGAGGACTTTATTTTTTTCTTAAAAGTACACATGACACTTCCGAGATGTATCGAGAAAGGGTCAGGCGTTAATTCTAGGACACCCTATGCAATGATCCTCAAGAATTAACAAGCGGTTTTTGCTCCTTTGAGACATCCGGTATGCGAGCGTGAATACATTACATTTCGCTCGTCTTTCTTCGCGAACGACGCGTCGCGTGATAATGAATCTGGTGGGGAAAAGCTGCTGCCTTTATGACGTTCTAGTCGATTAAGCGCGATGTAATCGCAGCTGGCCGCCAGCAGACGCGGTTCTTTTGCATCGGATCGGAGACGCGTAATCCAATTTGACGAGATTGCGTTTTCACGCAATCTCGTCTGCCCCAAGTCGTCCCTTTTTACTGCGTGTTGCGTCGTCGCGCATGATATTCTCGAGCTTTACTTCCATTGAGTATCCTTTGCGTGTCTTTTTACGCATGTATTGTATAAATAATACTTATCGGAGTAAAATATTGAAATTTGTTCGAACAATCTTCCTATTTTCAGTCTTCTTATTGGAAGAAATTTTGTATGAAAAAAATTGAATCAAAGAAATTTTTACGTACGTATTTTCGGAACTGTAGAGATATCGCGATATCCTGCTGAATTTAATCTTCATTCGCGTACGTATCACATATGTATAATAAACATGTAGACGTGAATGAGATACGGTAGTAATTTATAGGATGCTATATAAGTCGCGACGGTATGCGAAAACGATACTGGGTGTGGTAAACCTCCGTGAGCCTTTGATAAGACTCTTCATGGATAATCCGGATGTGTACTCACTACGCCACCGGAACAACACTCACCTGAAACAGAATGAAAAGGATGCTTTAATGGTATCATCCACGAGATAAATTCAATTAAAAATTATATATATGTCTATATATTTTATTGGCGGCTGTAGATGATGATGTAGTGAAAGAGAAATGTACAGTTTTGAATTTAAATTATTTATGCTTGAGATTTCTACGATGTATAAGAAAGTCTTATTAATACTTTCCCTCGCTATTATTCTTAAATATTTATCCCTGTGTACTAAAGCATTAAATTTTATGTATAAAAATAATCACCCAACAAAATCTTATCTTATATCTTATATGAATTAATCACAAGGATGTTCATAAAATGAAATAAATGTCGTATAATATGTAATCATATAAAATATAATATATATAATAAATATACATATATAAAATATAATAAAAGAATATAAATAATATTGTAAAGATATTATAAACATGTATATTTTTTTAATAACACTATAAAGCAAGCAAATTTAAAATCGAGCTCTATATTTTGATTATCAGAATAATTCAAATAATTTTTTCTGTTTTTTCGCGAATCACAATTATTACCATGATTTTAGTACAAAAAATACAATAAAATAAAATTAATGTTTATTGATGCGCACGAGAACATTAAACATAGAAAAATATTGTAAATGCATTTTTAGCCTTTATTGTTTACTTTCGAATTGAATCAAAAACCGATGAAAATGATACATTTCTAAAAGCGCAGTTTATAAAGAATACATCAGAGATAACGATTCACAATATACTATTCGAATCATAACGGACATAATGTATCAAGTAAAAGAGTACAAAGATTATTATGTGAAATAGCCATTTTCCAGGTCGGTATTCAACTTGGAACAAAAACTAGAGATTTATCATTTGTTAACGTCGTTTAGAAACGCTGTTGTGTTAACTCGGTCATATGATATGAACGCGTTGTCCCCCAAATCATCTAGCAAAACGTGCCAAACGCAAATCGGACGTCGATAGATACGATAAATCACGTCTCCAGCACCGGAAGTGCATCGGCGGCATTGTCGGTCTGACACACTTCGACCTTTAGATATGTGCAATTGCAATAGTACCTATGTAGTTCACTCCAAATCGATATCTACTTGTGGCAAAAAAATAATATCAGAAAATGATTTGTAAAAATAGAGAGAAAAAGAATATAATTGGGGACGAACGGTGAAGCTATGATGTGAAAATGTCAAATATCAAATTCTGTCTCTCGAAATACATGACCTACAGAACTTACAGAAATAAATCTCGAATGTTAAAGAAAAGTACTTGCGAGCAAATATGTACAGCGGACAAAAATCAAAGTTTCTGAAATTAAAGTCAACGAATTATTTTTTTGTGTAAATATCTTTGAAGATTTTTTACTGGAGTTACGGGTACAAGCGCAAAGAGATCTTACTCGATGATGCCGAAGATATTATTTTCGTTACGCAGCGCAATTTCACCTTATCATTATTTACGGTCTACGTGACCGCGTTTATTTAAAAATATCATACCAAACACGTTTTGCTACTCCTAGAAGAAGAGACATTCCGTCGCGCTACCGATACCGCGACGCGCCCGATGTAAACACGATCGAAACAAGAAAAAGGATTGAGGAAAGGGAAGAAGATGTACCGCGAGTTCGCCGAGAATGATAGCCCGTCAAGGCTGCCGCTGCTTGACAGCCTGACCTCGTGCCACGAGACCGCGATGTTATATTTACCACCTGGAAGTGCTTAGAAGGGAGCTTTCTCATCCGCGTTCCTTAATGGTCTATTATTGGACGGTCTATTAAAGGGAATATGCTTGAGCGAGGACCGTCACGCCTGTCGCGCGAAAATTGCAGGATAACATTACGTCCGCGTCGCGGTGATAAAATGCAACGTGTAACAAATTTATCCCGAGACATTATAATCTTGGCTTGAATTTCAATATGTTAAGTACAAGATATACGATACAATTAACATGTCAAGTGTGTTTCAAGTACGAGGAAAGTTAACTAAAATTGCATTGTAACAAGAAAAATTTTATGGGCTACAATATATGTATCAAAATAAAAAAAGATTATCTAAAAATACTTTTTTATATAAATAGTTGCAATATTATATATAATAATTTATTTTAATATTTAAAACATTCACACATATTTTTCTTTAAAAAAATATAAAATATCTTAGCAAAAAAATGTGGAGTACGTATGATTTTTTAAATGCAACAAGTTAAACGCTGATATTGTAATATTTTCTATTCATTTCTGTTTTAATTTTTTTACAAGTAGTAACATAGAGTGGAGTAAATATAGAAGATATCTTTCGAAAAGACCGCCAAAGGAAATCGATACTGAACGACGGCGGCGCTCATGAGTCTCAGACCGATAGCGTGATCACTCGTATATGCTGCGTAATATCACAACTTTATCTTCATTAAAAAAGAAAGGAAATATAATTATATACATCGTATTCATGAGAATACGCGCGCATTCTAAATAAACACATGTACAGTGCCTGTATCAAATCATCAAGTGCAAGTAAGATCCAAGTGGCAGCATTAACTGGGTCCAACGACTGCAACCACATCTGTTCACCAACAGGAAGATGCGCATGCGTAAAAAAGTGAGTACCATTGACATCAATATAGACACGATACATTTTAAGCGTACGCAGACGTTTAAACGAAATATTGCTATAATTTTTATTTTGAAAATATTTATTGACACAATCAGCTGATCAACGAAACTCAGACGATTAAGCAGAATTTTTTTATAATTTTTACTTGCAAATTTTTATTGACACAATCAGCTGATCAACGAAACTCGGACGATTAAGTAGAATTTTTCTATAATTTTTACTTGCAAATATTTATTGACACAATCAGTTGATCAACGAAACTCGGACGATTAAGCAGAATTTTTCTATAATTTTTACTTGCAAATATTTATTGACACAATCAGCTGATCAACGAAACTCGGACGATTAAGCAGAATTTTTCTATAATTTTTACTTGCAAATATTTATTGACACAATCAGCTGATCAACGAAACTCGGATCAGCTGATTCTGAGCTATGAAATTATTAAGTATCGAGCAAAATAAAAAATAATAAATATAAAAATATAAAATATAATTTAAAAATATTATTTTTTCGATAGCAAAAATATTGATTAAATGGTGCGAATACACTTGCGTACAGATATAAATTAACAACGTGATTCTTCGGATTGCGCGATTGTAACTAATAAGAAAGAATTAGATCGCGGAAGGGATTATCGCTCCATCGTAATTTGCCGCGCGAATAAAAGCGCGATTCAATCTATTGTACATGATTCCTGTCTGACTATATTATCTGACTATATTATCTGACTATATCCACTTTCAATCGCTACTTAGAAAAATAATCGCGAGATTCCTAATGAATTTTCCTCGCGCGTTGCAACAATCGATACAATCGCCAGCGATCGAACTATGATCGGTATTTTTTCAATTAAAACAAAATCAATCAAAATAACAATGACAAAAGAAAAAGTAAAAAATTCGCAAATTGGAATCATGTAAATAATTGCGTGTCGAGAATGCCGACTGTAATTTGACTTCGCAATTACGACACCTGTCATTCAAGGTATTTCTAGAACTTTGCAACTATCCCCGATGAAGCAATCAAAATCGCACAGCGACCAATTCACGTAGCCTGATGTGCAAAAGTTGACGCGGGACCATTAATTACGTTGTTACTTATTCCTACGCTTTCTGACACCGCAAACACGCGTAAAAGACAGAAACATTAACGTTAACCGCGATCGTGGATTCAACGAGCGATCGTATTGAGCCTCGTTAACCTTGACATTTTGAGCAACTCATGCCTCGCGTTTATTTTAGAAAGGTAGACACACTGTGACGAATTTTTACTTTGCGGGTTTTTTGATAAGCGATACTATTGAGTATGATGCGGTTCTGTCATCATCTATTTATGCAAGAACATGCAAACTCTCTATAAGTCCTATCGTTGCTGTTTTCAATTGCATGTTCTCAGACTAATCTTAATGTGATATCTATTCTCTTAACAAAATTATTTAATTAGGTGCCATTCTCTCTTTCTCGCAATTTTTTTATTTTTCACATATTCTCATTGAGATTGTAATTAGACTGTAATTAAAGTTTTGCTAAAATTAAATAGATTCGAGATAAATTAACGAATAAAATTTTGCTTACTTTTTGTAAAATTTAATTTGCTAAAAGAATTTTTTAAAAGAACATTTTCAATAATTTAAGAAATGTTGATGTAGGATGATGATGCGAGGAAAGAATTTCAAAAATTTCATTTTATATTTCAGTCATCAAATTCAGTTTTTAATTATTTTCAGTTTTCAATTTTAGCGTTAATTTAACGTTTCTTGTAAATCTATCAAATGCATATTAAATGCTAAATATCTTCCAAAGTAGAAAGAGATGCATATCACGTTTAATGATCTTAGACTGAATCTTACAATAAACGCTTAATTATGATTGATAGATATACGCTTCCGGATATTAATCTGTTTTGCCTGCGTATTCTTTACGATTTCTAATTTTTAAAGAATAAAATCGCTTGTAACGCAAAATGAAGACTTTTTTAAAGAAATCTTGGAAAATTTAAAATCATACAGCTTTTTTCGATTGAAGAGACGGTTAGCGAGATGCAATCACAAATGATCATGAAACCGCAAGTTGGACGAAGAATGCTGTTCACCACAAGATATGCTAATTTTTGGGTGAAAATACTTCAAAAAAAGAAGAAGAAACCGTTGGCATCAGAGGTTAGTGTCCCTTATTTTCCCATTAATTAATCTGGCCACTCCCCTAATTATCCCGCAACGGTTGTGCTTTATATCGGTTCGAGAGAAACCTTCTCTCAGGGGATCACACGCGCACTTTCCCCAGACATTTTCTTACGTAACAATATACGTCCGTGTTACAATTCGCGTGTTTCCATTCCCGCGGCACATCACGATCGTACGACCTCAATCCTCGTGAATCTTCCCAGTCGAATGGATTCCAACCAAGAATCCACCGTTTCAAGCATTGTATTACATCGAGAGATTACAAATACCGTTCTTTCATTATTTCCAAGTATTTTAACTTATCTCAGATCAGATTTGTGCGGTATAAGCTTTATCTGAAAAGAATTAGCATCTAATATATATATATATATATATATATATATATATATATATATATATATATATATGATGATTATATATTAGATTTTATAAAAAAAAAAAATATATATATATATATATATATTTATAAAATAAATTTTGTTAATGCATTGTGAGTAAATAATATTCATTGACAACTAAAATAAAAGTCAAATGGACAGATATTTGCAATATAAATTTGTTGATTATATTTATTCCAGAATTGTTTTAATTTGCATTCAAAGAAACTTAGCTTTTATACATAAAATATAAAAAAATTTTACAATCTAATAAATCTTAAAATTTTTCATTAGATATCTCTTATATAAATCTTTTACTTATCGATTATTTTTTTAAACACTGGATAATTCTTACTCTGCGGTGGTGTAAAATTACTCCTGCCCGTGCAATTTAATCCCGTGCTACGGTAACGCGAAACGGCAAATATACGAGTAATATGATCGCGCGTGTTGAGAAACGATATTAGCAATCGGATGGCAGTTCGCGAGTAATATAGACAAACGCTGAGACTTTTAAAACCACAGCGGTTCGTACTTGCAGCGCGATGCAGGGATCAATTCCTTCTTATGCAACCACGGAAGGGACGCCAGCCGTTTGATGGCGCGGTGTCAACACGCGTATAAGAAAAGGATGTCGTAACGGAATGTAACGGTCATTATTTTGTGCTCGCGATGATCTCTCTGAGCATATTTCCTCAACCGGTCAGCCATACAAAGCGGCCTCCGTTTGTGATTACGGTATACCATGTGCAGGTCCTAACGAGCTACCTATTGCAAACCGGCGAGCCCCCCTGGACCTCGTACTTTGTCCGATACGCCGACGTGGTGAACGATCAACGGGGAATGTCACACTTTAACTGGCCGGCGGGTGACAGTAATTACCACGTGCTTAGGACCGGCTGTTTCCCGTACATCAAGTATCACTGCAGCAAACGGCCGGTGCAAGACCTTAGCGGCGAGGACAGATTCTTCAAGGCGATCAAGATATTGAACCTTGGTAAGTAGCCGGACACTTGCCTCGGAAAAGAATCCGTATTCGGAAACGCGACCTTGCTTATTTACGCCGATCGGATGCGATAAACCGACAAGCTCATAAATCCTGCAATTATTAAAGTATACGGTGTCGTATAGAATCTTCGATATTAATTTTAATAAGATTTTTCGACTTTGCTTTAATTAAAATATTAATGAATATTTTGTAATTTATCGGTGACTAAGAGTGAAAGTAAAGATATTCGTGAGAAATAAGCTCCTGACATTTAATTAAGTTCTACTTTTTTCTGTCTTCCTCAGATTTCTAAATTGAGATTTAATTGTCAAAATTTTTAATATCGTGAGAAATTAAAATATCTCCATTTTTATATAATTATCTAAAGAATTATCTCAATTTCGAATTCGTTAAAAGATATTTTCCTTATTAGGATTAAGATGAGGCGTTTTGCGACACTCGGTATATTTCTTTTGATATAATTGAAATCAATTCGTATCTAAAATAACGATCGGAACAAGGCGTCACGGCAGAAATCACGCGATATCATCACAGGCGGTCTTACTTGACTTAATTTCCGAGAAGAGACATGTGCAACGGCGACGACGACGACGTCGTCGTCGTTGTCTTTTCACGGTCAACGTCTCGTTTCATTGACTGCTCCTGCTCGATCTGGAATTAGCCATGGCGAACGAGTTCAGCAATGCGATCTCAACGACGACGCGATAAAACCCCTGACTTCTTGCATTTGTTCAATCCAGGTATCCCCACCCTGATGTACGGACTGGCGGCGACGCAGCTTATCCGACACCACGAGATTGTGAAGACGCCTCAAGGAGACGTGACAATCCACTTCTTGCTACCAGAGGACAAAGGCGCGTCCTACTAAGATCGCAACTAGCACCATATTTAATACCTATTCGAGTTTCTCATGTGAAATGTCATGATGGACTTTAATGAAATACGAAGTCGAATGATTGCTACATATTTTTTAATCTTCATAATGTTATTCATTAGTCTGGTGAGTCTTCAAATACAAAATAAGGAGAGAATCAAGCGGCGTTCAAGACTCAGCCAGTTCTGTTTATTTATGACAGATGCGAGCGTTAGCTTTTTTTAATTGAAAAAATGGAGCAGTTGAGGATCTGGGAGTTTTCTACGAACTATCCGTTCAAGAGCTTGATCAAAATTAAAATTAGATAATAAGATCTTAATAAATAATGATAAAATGCAGAATTGTTTTTCCAATAAAAAAATGCACTTTGAAATTTTCTCAAATACACTTGAGAAGCATCAGTTTAAAAACAGCGAAATAAATTTCTTAAAGAAACGCAATTGAATCTTGGCTACGTGGAATTGCGAACCGTAGAAGTCGAGAAAACTTATGTTCCACTTTTAAAACTTTTTATTCATGTTTAAGTAAACTCAATGAATAGCACGTATCAGTTTTTGTAGAACTTATTAATCAAATAAGATCAGAAAAGCATTCGTTAGGGGGACCAGTCGTGAATCTGCTGATAATCGACGATTCTACATCAGACTTCAAGGGGTCTAAATAGGAGCACCTTTACAAGCTTTGACGTTGCGCCGATAAGACATGAAGTCTTATTTAATGAGAACGGCCGCGAGCGATCCGTACCTAGAACAAGGTGCGAACATGCATAGTTAACATTAAAGCGGCTTTCTAATTAGCTACTACTCGCGTGTTTCCCGACTTGATGATGCATTAACTTTGTCGACTCGTTTATCCGCCCCGAACTTGTTTGCATGGAGAACGTAAGATACGATGATGAAAGCTCCCGTTGCCGACCGTTGGCATTTAAGTCGGCGATTTATACGTGCGTCGAATGCGATGCATAATAATTCGTTATAATTATTATAACTATGGAATGAATTACGATCGGCGAGCGAACATCCCCCCTCGCTCGAATCAATCGATATCGAATGCCGGATATCGCGGTAAGACAAGTCACTTCTAAAGGACACGCTCCGTCAGTTACGGATGCGATTGCACGTAACCCTCGGCGACGTGCAGCTGTTCGAAATAAACGTGATCTGAACTTGGTAAAATATCTTTAAAATATACTCATGAGATTTGACTCGCAATTTGATTCGCTTTATAGCTTTAAGATGCGTTTATAAATTCATAATTATGTATTTCGCTGATTAATTTATAATTCTTTCCGATCTCTCTTATGAATAATACTTTGTGAAAAGTTTTATGGAGAAATTTGATTAAAAAGTACAAATTTGGAATTTTTCATCATGTTTATAAATTTAGAATTTTTATCTTTATTTTAAAAATATAATTTTAGATTTCATTAATTTTGCCAAGATTAGATTAAAGATACTTTCAAATGATGAGAAATATAGCTTATAAAACCTGAGAATATATGAATAATAGATGTAATTGTGTAATAATTTAGCTAGTAATATCTTGATTATGCCATTAGAATATATTAATAATAAATCATAATATCACTTTTACGACGATGAATCTAGAAATCAATGCGTTGAAAATAAATACAGAAAATCTGCAGTGACCTATAATTTTTTCGCAAATGAATTACATAAAAAATGTTATCAGTTTGTAGGTGTAATGATATTTAAATTTCACGCAACAGGCGACAAATAAAAATTCATTAGCGAACCGTGAAGTGTTATGCAATGACATTTCGAGTCTTTTCTCGACATTTATGATTGCGCGTGCGAAAGTTTTCGTTTCAAATCGTTGCCATCGCACGACATGCATACACGCACGCACGCACTTCTCCAAATGACCATTTATCATTTGATGATTATATACCGATAAAAAAGAAAATAAATAAAAGCCGGAAAAAATATTAATTAGCTGCTAACTTTCACATTTTAGCGGACTTTCACCAGTCTTATGCATTCATTACGGATGACATCTTCGATCTTTCCATTGCCTTTTTCGGGAGAGATACAATACTTTCGTTCTCCGTTTTCATTAACGAGGTAATCTGAGCTGATATAATCAAGAATTAAAACGATCGAATGTATTGTATTTTTCTTTGAAATATAAAGCTGACTTTATCATAAAGGCAATTAAGAAACACAAAATATAGTACTATTTCGAGATATAAAGTATTTAAGCGGTCACATATACAACATTCTTAATTGTGATAATATTTTCAAGAATTTAATTTCCATGGATATCCTGCTAGAATTAATAAAATCAAAGAAATCCAATTAAAATTCATTGATATTAACAAAAATTTTGAATTTTTTGCAATTAGCATTTATTTGTAATTTTTTTGCTAGAAAAACAGGAAATATTAGAAAATAATGAAGAGCAAGTTTTTTTATGATAACTATTTTTACTTCACAGATCGAGTGCAATGAACTAATATACTCATACTTGACTCAGTCGAGTCGATCCGTAGAACTTGAATATCCAGTGCGCATAAGAAATATTTGATATCTAACAGATAACGAGATTTCTAGAGCAATCCAAAGCCTTCTAATATCGAATCGGTTAGACGCATTCTCAGGTTCTTCAGATTCCTCCAGATAACAGAACGACTGGAAGGGAATGCAAGACGAAAGAAGAAGAAAGAGAGAGAGAGAGAGAGAAAAGTAGAGCGAGCGGGTGGAAATTTTATGAGGCTTGTTAGAAGCCTCGAAGAGGGCTAGTTATGCTGATTAGATAGTTTACATATCGAGGAAATCTGTAACTACCACATATTAATAGCTTTGCGTGTAAAGATGATAAGGATGACGATCAGCGCCGCGAGAGTCGCGGGTGCGGAAAAGAACGGTGTCTCGTTTTTGCGGAAATTATAAGAGGGTGACGATAACGATTATAGGCCGTGTCGTGCGTATCAGAAATGAGCTGACCGGCTTTGCTGCAGTCGATGCTAAATAACGTCGCACAGCGACAAAAGGCAAGATAATTGACAGGAACGAAGGGAGCCGATTACAACATATTATTTCCTGCGGTTCTGCTTCCTGCGCGAAATGCGAAACGTGCTGCGAGCTATCGCCTTGTCTTTCCTGGTCTAGACCACACAACGGCAAGTCTTGAAACGAATTTTATACAATTATAATAGGATTTACGAGATACATTATTATCTACACGTGTTATGAATGAACGTGTATTGAATGACATTCTGAATTACGAATTAATATCTCTCATATTAGATGAAGAGAAATTATTATACAAGATAATCTGTGTAAGAATTTATTCTTGTCTCTTTTTATAAAAATTTTCTAGCCATTTTATATGCTTATTATTTTTTTGCAGACATATTTTTCCTTTTTGACATTTTAAATCAATGCAACGCACTTGTTATACAACAACCGTGAACGAAGCTATCGCGAGATGAGCTCTCAGCATATCCGCATCACGCGCAATTAATTTCACGCGAGGCTCACGAGAGCTCGATTTACATGTCCCGATGGCCGTGGCGCTATTTTAGAGATAGTATCTGCTCGTAACCAGGAACCCACTGCGATATTAAACGCTTCAACAGGTTTCGAGCGTTGACGCGTAAAAACTCGAGACACAAAAAACGCGAAAGTTATTGCGTACCGTAAATATAAAATAGGCATATTTTAAAGCGGCTAAAATTAGTGTCTGGCTTTAGATAACTGGAAGAGCAACTATTGACAAATCCGATCGAATAATGTAATAAAAACAAATAATTTATAACGCAAATTTCTGAGGTACTGTATAAACTCAGCAGTCTCGCTGTCAAATGGGAGAAACTTGTGGGAAATAATTTTCGCGCAGATTCGACTTTTAACTTGGATTGCGAAAATCTGAGTTCATATTTAAATTTAGCAATATCAAGGCACTTGAGTATCGAATCAAACCGTGCGAATAGAGATACTATTTTTGTACAACGCGTATATATGTATATTAAAAGAGTTTTAATGCTTTGCTTAAATAATCATATTGTTGAATTTTCTTCGCCGATCGTTTTCGCCCTCATAATCGAAAGGTAACATACTTGTTCAGCGAATATTTCGCGACGAAACACGCAATGTCATCGCACTTTTGCTTTTAATTCCCAGAGCTGATGCATGACGTTGCATTCCTCGTGCTCGCATTTTTTAGAATTTACACAAACCTACTTTTCGGTGTAAAAAGAAATGGAGCAACGCGCCGCGTATAAAATAATAACGCTGCGGAACCAAAGAGATAACATCACTGGCCGTGTGCATCCGGGAAAGTGCAGACAAATGGGGAGAAGGTTGGTCACGCTTTTAGCGTCTTTTTTTTTCAAGTCATGATTTTTATGGAAAAGAGAGCGAGCGGTTTTGTGTTAAAAGCTGAAATAGCCTTTGAATTCTCTATGGAGAAAAGTTAAAACAATATCTTGTATAATAAAAATATATGTCCAAAGCATTCTATTCGCATAATAAATCAGGCTTAAGCATTAGAATAAAAAATTAAAAATATAATTGTTAATATTACATACTTAATAATATTATTACTTAATAATATTATACTTAATAATATTTTTAGATCGTATTATGTGCGCAATAAATTCGTGATTAAAAAATATTCATTAATTAAATCAAGTTTAAATTTTCTTTAAATAAAATTTAAATCTCTCGTTCCCGTTTCACTGGAAAACTGATGGAAAACCGAGATATGGAGAAAGAATTCGAAGGAGCCAAAAGCGTTTCTCCTAGGCGATCATTATCGCGCTTGCTTGCGCGTCACGACGATGAATCGAAGTGTACACTGTATATCGGTTCGAGATCAAGAGTACGCTTGTTGATTTATTTATTAGGGCACCATCTTCGGATATATACACACATACACACACACACATGTATGAGAAGCGTTACAATCGGATACGATCACCGGCTCGTCGATAAACGGGACGATCCACGGTTTACCGTCCCTTATCTCGAACCCGAGCATCGAAGGCAAGTTAATTTTACTGTGGAGAGAGAGGATGAAGCCTTCCGGCTCCGGGCACTCGCGAATAATCGCGCATCCCCGAGGAACTCGTGAGTCACGGCCGGAATTAGAAGCGCCAGCTCGTTTTCTCGATCGCGTCAAGACTCGGTTTCCGGCCGGCTTCGTCGAATCTGCGATGGTCACCGCCGATAGGGAAAGACGAGCAATCCCCATGTTGATTTATCGTGCTCGTTACGAGCGACTACTACTGAATTCGCATTGATTTATGCGCGTCCGCAAATCAAGCGCGAAATAGAGTCCTTCTTTCCGCCCTCGGATTCGCCGCCGCGAGTTACACGCGATCGTGCGCGCCGATAACGGTATCGATAACCGATGCATTCTTCTTTCATCGCAGCCCGTAGTTAAGACGCGAATAACCTCGATCTGGCGATCTAGCGATTACCAAATGTTGCGTAACGTCGCGTCCCGTTGATTACATTGGCATCGGTGATTATTTACGGGCGAAGAGGAGGCTCTTTCGCGCTCGAACGATCCGGCAAGATAATCCATCTAACGTATTCAAGCCGCGGAACGGATCGCTAAATAGTATCACACCGCCAATTATACGTGTTAGCTTTCTAACGCATAAATTCTCGTGTCTTCTCTGATGTTGATATTAAAACGTCAGCCGTATAAACACTGTTCACGCTCGACAGGATGAGTCTCTTTCATATTCCCTTCGAAATCCGCCGCGAATTTGCACGCGGTCGCGTGCAAATTATCAATTATCTCGCGCTTTTTTACCGGAATTATAGCCGCGGAATTATTATAGATGCGATTCCGCGAGTGCGTCGGCTATAAATCGCCGTGGTCGGCATCAGTTGTCGAGGGATAATGGAGAGGCCCCGCGCGCGTGTAATGAACGCAACGCGTTAAAATCGGACCTCACGGTTTATCGCGCGATGCTTTACCGGTGCCGGAAGTCGGCGCTGGAAAATTGAATCGTTCATAAAGCGCGACCGGCTATTATTATTATATTTCCATCGTTTTCATTAGATGCCCGCGAGACGAGCATTCTTCGCGCGCCCTCTTCCCGCGATCCTTCCCCTGCCACCCTCTCCTTGTAACGGACCTCGCTCGTTCCTCTTCTAGTGCTAACTGATAATTACGTTTTAGCACGATGCGCGATAATTATTATACGGGGGACGTTTCAATAGCTGTATCTCCATCTATCGCTAACGTGGAAGCGATTCTCTCTGGTGAGCTTTGAATTTACACTTC